AATATAAAATGCAATAAGGTAATTTCCTTTTACCTTAAAAAGGATATTTAAATCCATCCGGTATAACTTTATTTGATACAAACATTAAACAAGTCACTTTCAACGGTCTTTTGTGACAAATCAAAATGTACAAATTTTGTACTCCCTCCGTCCCAAAATTAACTTCTCACTTTCCTTTTCGGGTAGTCCCGAAATTAACTTCACACTTCAAAACTTTTCTTATTTGGCAAATAATCTACATCAAAAAAGTGCCAAACAGTGTCCAAACAGTGTCAAACAGTGTTTAAACAGTGCAAAACAGTGCACTCCATAGTAAAGTCAAAATTATTTTCTTAATCTATGTGAAGTCAAACTGAGAAGTTAATTTTAGGACGGAGGTAGTACAAAATAAATTGTGCTGGAAATATAAAATGCAATAGGGTAATTTTCTTTTACCCTAAAAGGATATTTAAATCCTACCAGTACAAATTTATTTGATACAAAAAGGCTAAAAGTAACAAACTTACTGAGTTCTAATTAGAACACGGTAAATTATTACACGCCATTATACGTGTATAGTTGCAGGCAATGCCAAAACCTATTAAGAGGTTAATAGTGCATGGAAGGCCTAAGGTATGGATACGCATACTATATCTTGAAGATAATCTTGCAAATTGATCCTCAATCAGCACTGAGAAGATAAAGGAAATCACCTGCTTCAACACAAGAAGACGAAAGTACATTACATCCTACGTCAAAGACTAATTCCTCTCAACCAACGGAGGAGATTAATCAACCGAAGATGCCTATAAATACAGGCATAGGCATGAGTTCAAAACCAAATTTTTGAGAGCCTTCTAAGTAGAGAAAATCATACTGAGCATCCAAGAGATATCTAGCAAAAGAGAAAGTGCTTGATTCAAACTTTGCTCTCTGCTTAGACTCATACTTCACTAAAACTTCCAAGTAAGAATTCACATAGCTACATCCTGGAAGTTTAGTTCTTAGTTGGAGGCTAGAATTTTTGTTATATCACAAATTGTTGTAAACACTTATAAGGACAGTGTTATCTACTCCTAAGTGTGGATGAATAGAATAGAGTACCTTTTGATCCCCACTGGATCAATTGAGAAAATCTAAGGATTGAGTAGCTTGGAGTGATGTGTACTCCTAGTGAAACACCTTTCAATCTAGGCTAGTTGTGTGGTTATAGCCAGATTGGCACTAAGTGTATTGGGCTTAATACTTTAGTGGAAATCCATCTGAAAGAGGGTGGGACTGGACGTAGGAGGATTACACCACCTCTGAACCAGGATACATCGTGTGTTGATTTATTTTCAGTCAACAAAGCACACACCAAACACTTTTTAATCAAGCAGTAGCTTGAGCAGTCATCTCGGCAGCAGTCTACTGCCCACCCTATTGCTAAGTAAACTGTTTGGCTAAACACTTTCTTAAAAGACATCTCAATGTTTTAGAAGTCCTCTACACTCCTCATCAATATCCTAATCCAAACAGAAGTCTCAAAATTATAAACTTTCCTTCGCAGTAGTCTCAGCACTACTCTACCCTTACCTCACTACTTAGTCCACTGCTTACCAAACTGCCAAGTCAACTGCCTTCATAGAAAAGTTCAAATCTCACTCAAACACTCCACTTGAGTTCCTTTGAGGTCATGAAACTTATCTGACTGTCCTTCAGACTTTTTCTTTGTCCACATACTAAATAGAAAGTTGTCATAACACTGTTTACATAGAGGTCAAGACTTCCGCTGTGTATCTTTAATCTCACAAAAGGTTATTGATCATCATATCTAGTTGGGAAAGTTTTTAAAGTTGAAAAAGCTTTAAAAGTCTATTCACCCCCCCCCCCCCCCTCTAGACTTTTACCTCTATCAGGGACCATCATCCCCTACACATCGCTATACCATGGATATCCCCTTTTTGTTCAACCACTCGAATTAAAGCACTCAACTGTTCTGCAACCAGAATAAATAAATATGGAGATAGCGGGTCCCCCTGACGAAGCCCCCTACCCGGTGTGATCAGTCCCAGAAAGTCGCCACCATACTGAATATAATAGCTGACCGTCTTAACACATTCCATAATTAAATTAATCCATCTGACATTAAATCACATCTTAATCATCACTCCTCGCAAGAAAGACCAGTCAACCCTATCATACACTTTGCTCACATCAAGTTTTAATGCAATAAAACCCTCTTTTCCATAACTTTTTTTCAGATATTGTTGGGTCTCAAAAGCAACAATGATATTGTCAATAATAGATCTGTCAGGTATAAATGGACTCTGACTTCCCCCACTAAACCATCCAGAATACCCTTGAGTCTATTAGCGAGGACTTTTGGAAAAAAATTATAAACAATATTGCAAAGAGCAATAGGCCTCCGATCCAATCACCCATGCATTCAGACTTGTCTTTTTTGTGTATTAAAACAATATTAGTCGTATTAATACCTGGAGCTAGAGACCCCGTATCGAACATCTGGGCACAGAGATCTGAGAATTCCGATCCGACAACATCCCAGTATGCTTGAAAGAAAGCTGGGTTCATCCCATCTCAGCCTAGCGCCTTCTCTGAGTGCATATAAAAAATAACCTCTTTTACTTCTTCCGGGCAAATAGCTTTATTCAACATACTGTTTTGATCCGTTGTGACCTTGGCAAAGTTCTCTCTTATTTCAGGGGGGTGATCCGACACCGCTGCCTGAAAAAAAAGATAAAATATTATCCATAATAACCAACTCCATTTTCCCCTTATCCGACGTCCATGAGCCATCCACCATCTTAACTCCCACCATTCTATTCCTCCTCCTATGTTTCACAGCGCTATGAAAAAAAATGTGAATTAATATCTCCTTCTTTGAGTAAGAACTACTTAGCCCGTTGTTTCCAAAACAGGTTCTCCTTTTCCAAGAGAATTTGGAGAACAGTCCGTACCCTCAGAAATTCAGCAACACTTGCCCTATCTTCTTTTCCACGGAGCCAGGCTAGCCTATTTTTACAGACTAAAATTTGGTGTCTAAAATCCCTTTTCCTACCTCTATCCCACCTGAGAAGTTCATTTCCACAAACATTGATCCTGTCATTACTTACAGATGAGCGGTTGCCCCCCCCCCCCAGCTATTAGTAACCACCATCCGACACTCCTCTTCCTTCACCAGTTATTTTCGAACTTGAACCTTTTCTTTCTGTTAGAGCTCTTGGTTGATATAATCTTCATCCATAACGCCATGTGGTCACTAGTCGGGGCCTCCACAGAAACTGCACGAGCCTCCATAAAAGTGTTCCACCAGTCATCATTCACCAGAAACCTGTCTAATTTTTCTTCCACCCAAAAATCAGTACCTTTTCCTCTTTCCCACGTCCGTCCATTGATACCCCGAAAACGGGAAATCCCTCAAACCGCTGCCATAAACCATGGGGGGGATACGACCCTTTTTCTCCGAATCAAAGAGAATATCATTAAAATCACTTGTATCATCCACGGGCCATTATTGTGAACTGCAAGGTCCACAATCAGATTCCACGAATCCCGCTGGCGTCTAGTTTCTGGGAATCCATATGACCTAGTTAGCCTCCACGCTTGTTCGTTCGGATTCAGCTGAACCAAGCAATCAATAAAATTCGCTTGACAATTTTGATTTCCACCTCATCACGCCATCCCAAAATCAAACCGCCGCTTGAGCCATCACTGTCCACGCCGTGGCTGTTGTGGAAGCCAAAAGCTCAAATGATATCCTTCGCCCTTTGACACCGGATCTTTGTTTCCATAAGGAATATGATAGACGGTTTATGCGCTTGCGAAATGTCTGCAAAACATTGGATGACGGCCGAGTTTCTCATCCCTCTGCAATTCCAGCTGAGAATACTCATAGTACGTTGTACCCTTGAGACGACCGTGTTTGATTAATGTGACCTAATTGTCTTTGTTAATTATGTGTTCTAGATTTTTAAAATCTTTGATTTGAAAAATAATGTTTTTTTAAAGTATTGAAAAATAATGTTTGTTAAATATTTTTCATAATACTCTGAAATTATTAAATAAAGGGAAAACTGTCAAATAGGTCCCCGAACTTTCATAAAAAAGTCAATTAAGTCCTTCTATAGGAGGTTTTGTCTGGCCGTCGCGATTTGTGGCAGTTCCCGGTGGAATTTTTTGATGAAATTTTTTGAGCATCTTATTCACCAAGTCTAGTTTACTCATACCAAATTTCAGCTAAAAAATCAATCGGGAACACATTCAAATTAATTCTTGAAGATAACTACGCATTTTTGCGTTCTCGAATTAATTTGAATGCGCTCTCGATTAAATTTTTAGCTGAATTTGGTATGAATAAACTAGACTTGATGAATACGATGCTCAAAATATTTCATCAAAAAATTCCACTGAGAACCGCCCCAAATCGCGACGACCGGACAGAGTCTCCTATAGAAGGACTTTTTTATGAAAGTTCGAGGACTTGACAGTTTCCCCTTAAATAAATTTGAAGATTTCTACTCAGTATTACTACGTATTTAATTAGAAGTAGGCCTGGACTCGGGCCGGTTCGGGCCCGGTTCGGGCCTGGGCCCGGCCGGGCCTCGGGCCAGGAAAGGGGAGGCCCGAGCCCGAACCGCCGGTGGCCGGTTCCGGTTCCGGGCCAAACCGGCCCAATTATTTTATTTTTTTGGTTCTCCTATTTAATCCCCTACCCCAAACCACCCCAAACCACCTCAAATGGCCCAAAATACCTATTCCAACCCAAAACTTAAAAAAAATTCAAAAAAAAAAAAATTAAAATCCGGCCCGGACCGGGCCCGAACCGGCCGGGCCGGTTCACCATATGGAAGGCCCGGGCCCGGAACCGGGAACCACCGGGCCGGTTCGACCCGAACCGCCGGTGAACCCGATCACCGGGCCGGGCCGGTTGCTACAGTGGCCGGGCCGGGCCGGTTCCGGGTCGGGCCGCCCGGCCCGAGTCCAGGCCTAATCAGAAGTGAACCACGACTGTCACCAAAGCCGATTTCTGTCCTTCCTGACCAGTCGCCCGCTGGAAAAATGAAAATGGAGTCTTGGGTTCCTCTTTTCAATATTTTCTTGAACTCGACATGCCCAGAAACCGACGCCTCTCTGTGGCTCCAACAATCTTTCAAGCTCGCGTCTCCATCCATATCAACAACTTCTTTCATTTCACTACTTACAAGGAATATTGACGTCCATATCGTAGACCCTTCATCTCCATCAAACCACACAAAAAGGTACTCTTTGTTTGTCATTTCTTTCGTCTTTATGTTCTCCTAAGATGAGATGAGCTTCTAATTGTGATCTGTTTGGGGATAGTGTTATGTGGATAAGGACGCTGCCCGATGCAGTTCAAGCTCGCATACTGTCGTTTCTTTCATATGAGAGCGGAAAGTTCCGTAAAAGAGACCTGTGTAGTCTGGCTGAGAAGACTTTGCGTGACGGATTGGAGCTTGATTTCTGGGTAAAGAGCGCTGCACAGCAGCTGCTTGATGTTGTGTCTGACTCAAAATGTGAGTGGGCTTTTTGCTCAGAATTGGAGGATGAATTTGGATCTTTGCCGGCATGGCTTAAAGATGTTGCTGGTAAGAGTGATAAGGTTCTTCCATGGCTGCCAATATCGCGGAATGAACTCATTTCAAGAATGCAATTCAGCAGTTCCAGTGAAAATGATGATTTGGTTGTTGAAATTGAAGAGGACAAAGAAGATAACTCAGATGAAGTAATGGAAGAAGGCAGCGTCAGCTCTTCTGAAGATGATGCTTCTTTAGATCCCGGAGTGGAAAAAATGGCAGCTTGCCTGAAAATCAAGATACTGAACTCTGAATCTACATTTCATACAATAGAAATGGCCAGGGAAATACAACGGCTTACCAAAGGAGGAGGGAATGATGCTTTGGCGATTTTAAGCTTGATTGAACCCTGGAAGGCAGATGATGAGACAGTCTCTATTCTAATTTCCCACCTGGTGGGTGAAAAGGAAGATGAGCATGTTTGGTCGAGTTTTATTCTCTGCTCATTTGTTCTTCCCAAACTTTTAGAGCTCCACGAACCTGCATCTCGGGTGCTAATAACAGCAATTGTGGAATACTGCAAGGTTTATCATAAAGCGGCGGAGTATGCTCTGTTGCTTCCATTGATGCTAAAAAATGGAGGCATAAACAATCCGATTTGTGATGTTATTACCAGGATTGTGAAGGAATGCTTGCACCCTGGTCAGGCTTCATCCCTCTGTCAGAGACTCATATGTGAACAGGAAGTTGACCCTAAGTTAATTTGCCTTCCGTGTCACCAATGTTTGATTGGCAGTGAAATGGTATGGACAGAATCATTATTTGTTTTGATGCAAAATATTCTAAACCATGACATTCCTTTGACTCAAGACTCGGTCGACCGATTGGTTTATTGCGCTTGCGAGTGTGCCCGAAAGTTCTCCAAGTCTTTGAAGTTCTGCAACTTTTTGTTATGTTTGGTAAACAAGTGTGGACATCTGTTAAAAACACAGAAAGTAGCTTTGATGGATGCTGTTTCACATACCAGCACACTTGTAACAAAATCAATACTATCAAAGTTATCTTCCTTGTGAATGATGATGCTTTTCAAACCATGTATAGCTATTGGACTTCCCTTCTCATCCTTTCTCCAAGAACGGCATGATGTCGGGCTGTTTAATCTAAGATCACACCGTTGAGAGTTTTCCCGATCTCACACTTTAACCCCAGTACCCCACCATAGCTGTATGGTCTCAGGCCAGATGAATAAAAGGGATAAATAATGACAAAAGATAAGGTCTACGCCTTCTATTGATATTGCTATCACCGTTCAAAGTTGCTGTCATCTTTTTTGTTTATTACAGACACACATATATATCTACCCTGTTAGATTCATTAACAAAACATCTTTTTGGTAATGTGTCTCTCTCTAAGTGTGCATGTGCATGTTTGTCATCCACTTCTATTGTCATATAGCATAGCAGAGTAACAACTTGAAGTTCAATTACTCGCTCACTCTCTTATACTTTTCCCTTATCCCCATCATATTTCTCTGGACTAGCTTGCAGATGAGAACAGTTTCTACTTTCAATTTGTATCTAAAGCTTTCTGAAACATAAGGAAAAACCTTCCATCTTGCTTTGCAGAGACTGAGAGACCTAATAAACTACCAACTTCACCTCATAAGAAAAGTATGAGGCTGATTGACATAGCATAAGGGTTTTAGGCTTCTAGAGAAGGCAACTACTTTCAAGCAAGGACTTTCTCACCTGGGATAGCTTGAATTTAGCCAGTTCTATTTTCAGAAATCCAGATCTGGGTCCAACACATTATGTGGCACACCCTTCTGGATGAAGGGTTCCTTACCAATTCTATACACACAAACAAGTTACATTGTATAACCCATAGGCCATAGCTAATTTCAGGAATTCACTTCCTTCGCCTTCAAAGCCGTATGGCTTTGAACCACAAAAATCAAATCCGAAATGAAAACGAATGCATGCTGAAAAATGGACAAAGATTACACTAATAATCACATAAACACTAAAAACGTCCTGCCTTTTAGGGATCAATCAAAGTATTGGCTTTCACATTAATTAATGAAATCCGAAAATGGAAACGGATGGATGCTAAAAAATGGACAAAGATTACACTAATTAATCACATAAACACTAAAAAAAGTCCTGCCTTCTAGGGGTGAATGGAAGTATTGACTTTCACGTTTCAAACAATCTTTGGTGGTGATTTTCGTGAACCTTTCTCGTCTTATTGCATTTATATCATGAAAAAAATCTACCTTATTGTTGTGTAGTCTATTACTCCGATGGTGAGAAACATTATTGAGTACACTTGTGGGTCGATGCTATGGGAAAACTTGGTCATATTAATGGGAGCTTCAGGTTAAGCTGCAGCATCCATTACAAAATTTCTTCTGGGAAAACAAAATATGTTCATGTAAGGCCGGTTGCAACCTTTGGGGGTGAATAGACAGAAAAAGTCAAATAGAAACCCTGGGGCTTTTTCCTTGTAGTTTATGGATTAGTTCATGTTCTCACTATATGTAAACAAAAAATAACCATTTTACGTTATATAGCTGAGAAATAGCCTATTAAAATTGAAGAAAAAAGAGTAATATGAGAGGAAAACATATATAGAGCATTAACACAATTAAACATGAGGCTCGTCTTAAGAGGTGAAGCTTTTTAGAAAGCAGCTAGAGACCATTTTCCCCATAAACTGAACCTTTAAATTTATTCAACCCATGAATGCAAAATCACAATCTCATAAATTGAACCACAAATAGCATTCACCATAAGCTAGAGAACAAAGGGTATTGTAAGTTCAATTTTCAACCATGCAAATTGCGTGCTTGACAAAATAACAAAACTTGCATCTCCAAAGTTACTTTTCTTCATAGCACTCCATAGTGACCATTTCACAGCATCACACACAATTCTAGTCTATTATCACACGTAGGATCCTTAACTGCATCATCTGCAGAAAGGTCGGACACTAACACTAAGAAAAAAAGTGTTTAAAAAACGACTGTCAGTACAACAGGAGCAGTACAACTTGAAGATTAAAAGGTTGGAAAAACAAGAAATTTAGAAGTATCATAAACCTTTAGTTTCATGAACTGAGGATTCTAAAGCACCTCTAGCTATGTATAAGTCACCAGCCATAACACTGATAGCTACTTTTACATTTTCAGAATTATAACCTTGATCACTGCTCATTGCTCAAACTATCTTGTCCAGCAGAGGAATTACTGTGGTTTTGAATTTCAATTTTGTCAACCACTTTCTTAGACTTTGATCCACCTTCCACCCTCACTGGATGGTGTAGCTAATGGTGATTTGTTTTCTCCATCCATCAGATATATACTAGGATTTAAATGCATTCCCTGGCATCACAATGCCTACCCCAAAAGAAGATCAGACTTGATCCTCAGTTCATATTGACCAGTAGAACAGATATGAGAAGCAATTGCATGCTCTTTATCAACTATGCAAGTCATACAATAAAAGCTTTCTTCAGAAATTCACTTTGATTTACAGACATAACTATCATATTGTGGCCTCTTTCCACCTCATTACCTTGCCTGGGGAAGACCTATCTAGTCATTCTTCCAGTATTTCTTATGGGGAGGTCTTCCTAAAAACCAACCTACTCTGCCCTATGATTTTTACTCCATCAATTACCACCGAGTAGCTTTACGATTTACCAATATAAAGCTGGAAGCAATAGGTAACAAGGAGAATAGTACAAAAAACAATTGAGGCGTAAGCATCAAATTTAACCATCAAACAAAACTTAAAATAGTCGAACTTGTGGCACAGCTCAAACCCCGCCCTGTAAGCACCTTTTTAAACCATGGGGCAAACAGAGCATAACATGAACTCTAATGTTAACTGTAATGAAGAGATATTGAAATAGCATGAGACAGTTTATGACATGCTGCTGATCACAAGTGAATTAAGTTGCATCCATTAGTCAAGTGCCGGTGAAGAATGTTAGGGATAGTAGGAAGGACGGCCAAGACACAGGGAATTGTCAATGGGAACTTCAGGTTAAGCAGCATCATCCACTACAAAATTTCTTCTTGGAAAACAAAATATGTTCATGTAAGTCTGGTTGCGACCTTTGGAGGTTAAAAGACAGGAAAATTCAAATACAAACCCTGGGGCCTTCTCTTGTAGTTCATGGATTAGTTTATGCTCTAACCATATGTAAACAAAAAATAACCATCTTACTTAACAGAGCTGAAAACTAACCTATTAAAATTTAAGAAAAAAGAGTAATATGAGAGGAAAACAAATACTACATACATAGGAGGGTTAACACAATTACACACGAGGCTTCATCCTAAGAGTCAAGCTTTTTAGAAAGCATCTAGACACTTTTTTCCCATTGACGAAACCTAGAAATTTATATAACCCATAAATGCAAAATCACAATCTCATATATTGAACCACAAACAGCATTCAACATAAGCTAGAAAACAACCGTTTTGCAAGTTCAATTTTCAACTGTGCAAAAAGCCTACTTGACAAAATAAGAACATGCATCTACGAAACCTTCCTCATAGTACTCCAAATTACTTCTTCATAGCATCATACACCATTTTAGTCTGCAGAGCTACCAACTCTGCGACCTTCGCACAAATTTCAACATGCTCTTTCAAAAGCTTGGTCCATTTCTCCTCAACCTCAGCGGCCCGGGAACTCTCCATCAAATTCACTTTGTCCTTCAACATATCCAATGCCGCATCAGACATCCATGGATAGAATTCCTTGTTCAGATGATTAACCAAGAGAGGGTATTTGCACTGCACATCCTTAACTTTTTCAACCACAGCAGCTTGTTCATCATTTTCCTGGACATCACCAGGACTTTTCCCCATCCCATTGGCATTTAATGCATTTTTGAGAGATGCATTGTGATTACCTGCATTCCTCAGCTGGTCATCTGCAGATTCCTTTTCCTTGACAGAGGCACCTGTTTCCACATGTTTGACCTTCTTCAGCTTCTCTGAACCTTTCTCTTCTGCATCCAAGGCACGCTTTTGGTAGGAAGTTGGATGAGGCACCAAGGTGCAGCCAGATGCAGAAGGTGAAGATTGTACTTCCTGGGAATCGGAATCTGATTGCTCGTCGGAGGAGTCCGGAGCGGATGCATGGCTTGTTTTCTCCTCGCCCTGTCCTCCAGAGACGTAATTGGGTTCTGATTGAGGTTTCTGTAGTTTTTGAACAAGCTCGTCTAGCTCGGGATTCTTGTCGCCTTCCTCGTCAGATATGTCGTCTTCACGAGATGATGCAGAGGGAGGCTCATCTAGTAGACGAGCTTTGGATCCGGCGGCCATTGTTTTGCATGGCCGGCGGGTCTCAGCAAGGGGAACGGGTCGAAGAGACGACGACGGCAGCCTTCCCAATCCACACACAATTACAGACCTCTTCATAGGAGTAACACTCGAATTGGAGAAAGAAAGGAGTTGAATTGTTTGAATGTGTTCCAGGTGACGCTCTATCTACAAGACTAGAAGACCTTGCACAAGATTCTGACGGAGACTTCTTTCTTTTTGAAAGGATTCTGGCGGAGACTTTTTGCAGAAAATTGAATTAGCAACATCTATTGAATTATCAATTATACGAAGTAAATAAATACGAAGTAGGAAGTACTAGTGTACTAGGACAAAGCAAGGTGGTGTCGTTTTTAAGAAAAAATTGAATTGTGTGGTTGATATCGAATTGATAAAGTGTGTATAAAGTAAGAATCAATTCTAAGTTTCTAACCACTCAAGTATTACCAAATATGGTATAAGACAAACTTAATAGGACGGACGAAAAAAGTAAAACAGGACAAAGTTAGAGGGACGGAGGGAGTAATATTTAAAATGTATTTTGTTAATAAAATAAATAAATAATTATGTGAAAAATAATTAGAATGATTCTATGCAATAATTACAATAAATTTAGTTAGAAAAATAACTTCAATTTTATTTATTTTAATTATACACAATTCCTACGCGAAATAAAAAATTATATATGGTGTATAACTTTAGAATATTTGTATATAGAGTATGTTTTTCTCCATTTTTTCTCTGCTATTGAACCACCAAGTAGTATAGGGAGTCAGGATGTCTTTACTTGAACTGAAATTTGTTGGTGTAGTCTGGTCTGATCTGTTTAAATCTTGTCAGGTCTGGTCTGGTCTGAACTGATCTGGTAAATTTGTGATTTCTGTGTATTTTATAACTACGGAAGTTTAGCCTAATATGTTTAAGTCTGGTCTATTTAAGTCTTATTTTATACACATGACTCATCTATGTTGTTTTATTTCATTTTTCACTACTATTGAAGTATTGATCCAACATTCAGATATCTCTTATTTTAATTTTGTTTATATATATCTTGATATGTTGCATTTAAATAATACATTTCAAAGATATAAGTTAGGAAACTTTTGGCATATGTCATCTTCTAAACAATTGTATTCAATCAGAATTTCAATTTTTAAAGGGAAATTATCATTGACCT